CTACACTGATCATAGCCATTTCATTGGAATAGGAATACTTATATTGGAATGCCTGTGTTTTTAAGACTTTATTTAAGATACCTTTCTTCAGAGCTTCTTTTCCCTTAAAACTGGCCTTTGAGAAGATCTCTGAAGCTGAAGTTCTGTGCAGTGTTAGCAGTTCTGCATCTTTGTTCTCTTAGGTCTTTATAACCTCTATATCTGCTGTATATTCTCTGTATCTGCTGTAACAATTAACCTCCCACTGTGTGCTAAGCCTGGCAGCAATTTGAGTTTCTGTTTTATCCATTATAATTTTTGCAGTAAGTAAACCCAGATGTAATCAAAAAGCCACTCTTTTTGTTGGTGTGTGTGTTTCCAGCTCTACAGTCGGCACAGGGATTACCTCAGTGGACTTGTGGGCTCAGACTTTGAAATGGTGAGTAGCACAGGCACCTGGCAGGGACCTGGAGCTCCACTGCCTCTGGGGAAGACTCTTTCATCCTGGGGGGCTGTTGGCAGCTTTTATCTTGTGGCTTCCAGCAGAAAACTGGGTCAGAAGGGACAAGTTGCAGTGGATTTGGGGTCTGCAGAGATCCCTCCTGCATCTGCCCTGGAGCAGCAGGGCCTGCTGAGTGCTGCAGTGAGGCTGCATGCAGTGCCTCAAGGCCTGTGACTGTAGTACTTTAAGAAGGAAAGAGAGCTTATATCTTCTGGAACAGTGATTGTTAACTTCTTGAGTGTCAAACACCTTCATGTGCTACTTTGTGCAAGTAAACAGCCCCTCTCAGCCCCAGACACATGCAGTTTCCCTTCTCACTGAATTACCCAGACTGCAATATTTTTTTTCTCAAATTTTTATTTGCCAAGGTGTGAAAGTTATTGTACTTTCTAGTACTTTGATGGAATGTTTCAGCTCTGCCTGTGCTTCCCCCTGTTCCCCAACCTTGGGCAAGTGCAGGAACATGACAGGAAAAACAGGACTATGATTCCTGCAAGTGAATGTGTTATGCCCATCTTAAAGTCTGTAAGAGATTGATTTACAGAGTAGTAAACTCCTGCAGTGTGGGGATTTGGTCTCTTTAGAGCCTGTCTCCAGAGGGACACTTCACTTCTGAAAGGGTTAGAAGTCATGCCTCCTCCCTGGCCAGCACAGGAAATCATTCATGTCCAAACCTCTGCAAAATACCTGTGTGAGACACTGTTGAGGTTCCACCATTGGTCATTGAGCTCTTCATCTTGTTTATCTGCTTTTATTTCCAGCCTCTTCCTGGTACTCTGCGACTCTTTGTGAATGGAGAAATAGGTGAGTCCTTACTCTAAGCAGGGGCAAATGTGGGTGTGCTGGCATGGCTGAGGCTATGAAGGCTCCAAGGATTCTTGGATCACAGTCTGGTCCAGTGTAGATGATTATCTCCCTAGAGTCCCTTACTTCCTCCTTCTCCTCTCTGCTTCTGCAGACTAACCCCTTGAAAGCCATTTACAGATTGGAGGTTACAAATGCAGCTGTTCTAGGAAGACCTAGGTCTGAAAAAAAGGAGAGTGGATTGCTGTAATCTCTATTAATTTCCCACAGAAAGCAATTAAATGTGTGACCTCATCTGGTTAGTGATACAGGGTCAGGGCTAGTCTGGAGAGGGAATCTTCTCTGAGGGTCAACTCCTCTTAGCCCTGGCTTTTCCCAGCTTCCAGCAGTGACTGGTTGTCCCTGGTTATTGGTGCTGGCTATCCCAAAAGTCTACAGCAAGGGCTGGAGGAGTTTGTGTGGAAGCCAGCAGCTGAAGTGCATTCTCTCTTCTCAGTTTCAGCTCAAGGCTTTGAGTATAACAACCTTTATGTGCATTTCTTCCTGGAACTGCCTAACCGTAAGTACACGCATTTCCAGCCACATCCCAGCAGTTTAAGGAATGAAGCAGGCTTTGGCTGGTCCATCAGATCAGTTCTGCTGGGAGTCAGCAGAAGTTAATGTTTGGGCTGGGATCTAGTCAGAGGTCTTCAGAGCTAAAGTGGCAGAACTTGACTGTCTGAACTAGACTCATGCCTGGGGGAAGTATCATCTTGCCCTTTTGTTGCTTCCAGCTCAGGCTGGGACATGGAGTTGGCCAGTTGTCTATCCAAAGTTCACTCCACACCCTGCAGGGAACAGCTTTCCTATCCTCTCCATCCCAGCAGTGACCTTGTCAGATTTCAGTGCTCACCGTCACGTTTTGTGTTGACATTAATATGTGAAATTTTGATGGATAAATAAGGTTCCCAGCACTACCATACACATCCTGCTGCATGTTTAGTTCCCCTGAAGCTATGGCTCTGGCTTCCCTCTCTGGGTGTACCCAGATCTCTCTCTGAGTACACCCAGATGTTCATCCAAAGAGATACCACTTCTGCTGCTCTGTACACTTAGATAAAGTTCTGCTTTTCTCTGGAGATGAGTTGGTGTTTTTCATGGACAGTCCAGGGTGTTCTGGGGAGCAGCCAGTGCCTGGAACAGGACAGGGTGAGAATGCCTATGGAAAAGGCATATGAGGAGTGGCTGAGGGAGCTGTGGTGGCTCAGTCTGGAGAAAAGGAGGCTTAGGGGGGTCCTCACTCTCTACAACTCCCTAGAGGGTGGTTGGAGCCACCTTACTTTTTTAAACGTTGCTCCCTTACTGCTTCCAGAAACCACACAATTGCTGTACTTTGCAAACATATTGCTATCACATGACACTCCTACAAACAATGTGTTCCTGGGCAATAATTGAAGGTTTTAAATAGTCATAAAGTCAACATCTTCATTACAGGAGGAATTTCTTCACTGAAAGGGCTGTCAGGCATTGGAAGGGGCTGTCCAGAGTGGTGGTGGAATCACCATCCCTGGACGTGTCCAAGGACATGGCACTCAGTGCTCTGGTGTAGTTGATAAGGAGGTGATGGGTCCAGGTTGGACTTAATGACCTTATTCAGTGTGGGTGATGTTATTTGTTACCCCAGTCATTGGGGACTGACATTCTCCTTTGAGCTGCTCTGGTTTGTGAGTTTGGTCTTACCCAAAGCCTTCACCACCGCGTTCACCTTCTTTTCTTCTGCCAGAGTGGTCAAGCCCCCCGTTCCAGCAGCTCTCAGGAGTCACACAGACCTGTGCCACCAAGACAGTGGGCTGGGTAAGGACACTTTTAGACCTGCAGAGTAGATTGAACAGACAGTCTCTGGAGTGGAACATGTATAACTAGCTACAGATATATTCAGTAAAGGTCCTAACTTGATTGCTCCTTTCAAGAGCAGAGCATGTTTAGGATTCTCCTCAGTCTAATAAAACTTTTTTTTTCAGGGGGACACTGTGTCCAAATAAAACTAGACCAAATCAAACCACTCCAAGCAGTTTCTGGAACCTCACTTTCTTCATCCTTTTGGCTGACTGATTGCTTTTGGAGCTTTGATTTTTGTGTTCTCAGTGCTC